CAGCAGCAAAGGGAGCTGCCTTACTTGGGGATGAAAGGTAAAATCCACAAACTCTTATTTTGGGAGAAGAGGTCTGAAAAAAATAACCATTCCAGGAGAAATTATCCAAATATTTGAATACCTGTGACTCTTCCACGCTGCAGCTGAGCGCTGCCACCCTTTGCTTCCTATCCGGCTGCTTCAGGCCATGAGAACTGCAAAGAGTCGAGGAGGCCAGGGCTGTGAGCCGTGTCTCTGTTTCGGTGGGTTGCTTACCTCCTCTCTTAATGTCTGTTCAGCCTCATTTGCTGTTTACAAGCAGATCATGCAATCTGAAAAGAGTTTTCCAGTTGCAGTGTTTTCATCCTTTTCCCTTCCATATGGAAAATTGCTTGGGTTTGGACAACATTCAGTATTTCCAGTTGGAAAGTTTCAGTTCTGGATAAAGAACATCTCCCTTTGGAATATTATCCTGTTCCAGCCGTGATAATGAGGAACAGCAGCGGGGGGATACTTCTTCCCTTATGAGAATAGTCAGTGGTACGATAAACTTCCACGAGAATTGCATCAAGCCACTCACAGCAGTTTGCAGCTCAGTAGGAAAAACCTGGGTTACAGGGATCAGAAGTTTTAACTAGATTTTGGTTTCTTGGTGTTTCTACCCTTTTACAGTGTAATCTATATAGCAAGTCAGAAAACTTCTGAAGTGCAGTTCCATCAAATTGGAAATGTTTCATAAACTTGTGCGTTAGAAGGGAAAAAGGATGCCTGAGGAGAGTGTTGTGACTCTGTCATAATGTCCAGGGTTTTGACGCTTTTTTTGGAAAGAAATGGGATGCTTTGCTTTTTTTTTTTTTCCTATAGAATTCTATAAAATTATTTGTTTAAAAATGTGCTATTATATTAAATTATCTCCATATCCTTGCTCTGCAATAGTATAATATAAAAAAAATGGAAACACTTTATTGTTTTGAACCAAAATATTATTGGGACTTCTTGCTTGTGGAGTATTGGAGGAAAAAAAAAAAAAAAAGGCAAGTTTATTTCTAACTGAAAAATGTACGACAGGTTCTCAGTATCGTCCATAGAGGAAAACTCCATAAACAGATCCACAGTACTATTTTTCTGTGCCTTTATATGCCCCAAATCTTAGGCGTGCCCAGTAGATATGGAGAAGATGAGCAGCTGCTCTCCGGAGGGGACACCGTGGGATGTGGTAGCAGCCGTTGCTTCTGACAGCATGACAGGGCTGGTTCAGAGCAGCACCACAGGGAAACACGACCCAGAGCAAAGCCTACCAAAGTCCACAGGAACTTTCTTTTCTTTTGTTTAGTTTTGGTTTGGGCCCTCTGCGCCATGAAGTAGTACTAGAAGTCTCAAGGCAGGTTACTGGGGACAAATGAACCAGGGACATAGTAATCCATGTTGAAAAGCTTTTAATTACTCCATGTTTAGAGCAGACAACGCTGCAGTGAGTGTATCACCAATATGTCAGCATGGTTTGCTTTTCATAGGAGTTTATGTTCCCAGCAGGCACTGAATGCTTTTTCTGCCTGATAAATGTCAAGTACTTAAAGCAATCTTGCCTGCTCCTCTCAGGAGATTGCCAAACAATCTCCTTTCATTGGCTATGGGATCTTGCCAGGGCTTCTGCGATCATGCACATTTATCCCTGCCAAATGCTGGTAACACAGGAACTGTACAAACACTCCCTGCTCCTTTCACTAGCTTTGCACAGCTCTGTTCAGTTGCAGGATTGCTTTTTTTCCTCTGTTTTCGTGGTAGAGCGATAGTTCATAAACATGTGTGCCATAGATTTCATCGCTTACAATGGAGATGTGTTTCAGAGCAGAAACCTTTGTTAAATAAATATGATAGGCCTCTTGCATGATAGCTTTCTTAAATGCTAATTCAGTTTACCTCCTGAATGCCCCCATTGCTGCAGAAGAGAGTTCTCAGTAGGTGTTGAGCAGTTTCTCTGCTCCCAATCGTGACAAAAAGATTCCTTTGCTATTTTCCCTATCCGTTTGCTTGTATGTTTTCTCTAGGAAGCCTTCTAGCACCAAATATTCCTACTCTGAGTAGTGTGTAGTAGGTACCTATATAATGAAGAGCCTTATAAAATATGTAAAGCTTTCCAGTTTATCAAGGCAGAAGAAATACCTGAATAACATCTTGCCGTTCTCCTTCTGGAAATACATCCTTTAATAAAATGAACTGTGGCAGAGTCAAAAATGTTTTGAATAGAGAAAGGAAAGCAAATCTTTCACCTTGTCATGTTTTATCCTGTGTATGATAAAAGAGGATGGGGTCAGTTGACCTTTTTGTTGATAATGTCACCGAGATATTTTAGGCTAGTGCTACGTATCACGCTCTGGCAGATGAGAAGGCTGCGTGTGTCACTGCGGTAGTTAATTTCAACCCATGCAAAAAGACTTTACAAGAGTATATGGCAGATTGTCATATTTTTTTTCTACGACATTTCTCATTTCCTTGTCTATAATATAATAACTTTTGAACGTTGCGTATGCAAACCCCAACGCTTCAGGCAAGATCTAGACCACATGGCAGAATCTCATTGGTTTGGATGAAAATTGTGAAAACGGAAGGAGGAAAGAGGCAAAACGTGCTGTTGCTAGCAATTTGTTTGAAAACACGATACCCTTAACCACTTTGAAGTGCTTTTAGGTAAAAATATCAATTGGCACCAGCCATGAACGGCCTCCAGCACAACAGCATCTCTCCAATAGCTTTGTCCGTCATTAAAACGGTACAATCCCAAAGGCAGCCACGTATATACTCCTGTAGCCAGTATAAAGGGCAGTTCAGGTGCTGGGTAAAACGTTCAGAAAAGATCAAGTACTTTGTGCCAATCTCATTCACTGTCTCTTCAATTTAATGACACCAGTCTGAATAAGACTGCTCATGCCAGGGTGTAAATCAGATGAATAAAGGTACAGAGGGAGGATTGAGGCAAGGTTTACGTCAGTAGCATTTGTATGAATATAATATACGAGTAACATTACACAGAGAAAGGAAACAGGGTTTTAGCTGGAAGCAGAGCGAGAGCAATCTGATAGTATTGTCACATATATCAGGAGGAATATTTTCTACAAAGCCCAAATGATTCTGGTAGCCTACATCTCATTCCCATAAGCCTATCTTAAGACATTCAAGAAAATTAATTTGGGTTAATTAAAAAGACAAATTTAAAGTGCATTAGGATATATCCTCATAGTGAAAAACTATCAAGCTAACACATATGCTTATCTGTGGCAGCTTTTGCATGTCCCTAGCCTGTTGCAAAATGGAACACATTAATTAGCACCACCATGAAAGTATAGCACTTGTCTTTGTTTCTTTTAATTCTGGCTAGGTTTCTTTTTGTTTTTCCTTTTTTATACCTTAGTTACACGTTAAGCTTGAACAGATGCTATTGACAAAGTGTGGCCTCACTATTTCATGCATGTCATATGCACACACGTAAAGCCTCTTTGTTCCTAAACAAAACTAGAGTCTTGTTTAGCCTCTGCCCTTATTACTACACCTGATAAGGGTGAAGTATCAATTTTGGAATGGCTATTTAATGGCTCAGAGCAGAAGAAGGACAGAGTGGTAACACTGTGTTTGACTCCTCCTCTGATGCTGACCGAGTCGCTTCAGTAAATGCTGTTAACGGCTGCACCCTCCACCCAGAGTGGGGAGTCCTACGTAGGCTGTCCAAACACTGCCTTTCCGTTGGCAGAGCAGTGCTTAGCTGCTGGCTTTGGGAGGTTTTTTAAGTCCATGAGCGCTGCCTTGTTGGTTTAACGTTAGGAACTTGCTAGCAGTTTTCTCATGGGTCAGCAAGAGGTATCTGGAAATGTCTCTGAGCACTGAGGTTGCAGTGGCAGATCTACAGCAGTGAATTCCAAGGAGAAAAACAGCCAAGAAGGGCTGGGAAGCTGGCGCTCTGAACCCAGCTGTAGTCTAGGGCTTTTTTGGGCTGTGAAACATATCAATAAGGTATCAAGGCTTTCAACACAAGAACTGTTTACCCTGTAGAAATGCAGGTTAGGTTTAGTATACTTGATAATATTTCTTCTGAATCAGTTGCTTTTGTCTATTTAGGATAAAAAGTGGCTTCACTCAAACATTTAATGAGGTATTTTATGAACCTCAGCATTTAATGACATATTTTATTAACTGTTCATGCAAAGAGAATGACATGCAATTTCCATGAGTTCCTTTCTTATTTATTTGTAATGGATAATTTCTAAGAAACCCCTGACCTCTCATTTCAAATGAATTTTATCATAATGTGTTGATTTGTAATTTCAAAGACAAAATGGTCTGTACTTTCTAGCTGTAATCTATTTGGAAAGGATCTGAATAAGTAGGATATTCTATTTCCCCTTGAATTCACTGAAGTCGTGTTAGTTTACCTAGATTCCATTTTATAAATTATTAGGATTATTCTAACAGTAAATTTTACAGTATTTACATCCAGTAAATCCTGGATGTATTACAGTGTTACTGATCTTACAGTATGTAAGAGTTTCCTTTCTCAGTGCTGAAAGAATTGTTCATTTATGCAAGAAATTGCTGTACATAAAAAGGTCTTGATTCATCACTGTGTTACTGCAGAGTTACATCACTGTCATTCCAGTATGAATTTCCAGGATCTTAACTGTTCTCTTGCAGCCATAAGGATTTCATTCTGATACTTAGTTTTATGTCTTTGGTGACTCTCCAGGTTTTTTAAATCACATGGTGATATTTTGAAAGGATATTTAAAATGGAAAGTTCCCTGCCCAAAGAGTTTGGGAGAGAACAGCTTTCTCAGATGAAGGGAAGTGCAAGGAGTGTTTTGAACAGGGTATTATTTTTAATAGTGTTTTACTGATGTATTTCTAGAGAAAAACAACAATAGGCTAGTCCCGGGAAATCCATTCCAGGATTGTGACATTGTAACAGAAATCCTGTGGCTGAAAAAGCTTGTTAAATATCTATGATGAATTTGTATTTTGTTCTGTTTTTAGTGTCAGCCAAACCAAGACCTCACAGTGATGAATATACAAAGAAGATTCCACCTCCTAAGCCGAAACGAAATCCAAACACTCAGCTAAGCACATCTTTTGATGAAACATATATCAAAAAGCATGGCCCCATGAAGACCACACTCACTAGGGATGCCTCTTTATCGCAGGTCAGCAGTCCTGCCCCAGACACAGAGGAAGAAGAGCCTGTTTATATTGAAATGGTTGGGAATATACTCAGAGACTTCAAAAAAGATGAGGATGACCAAAGTGAGGCAGTCTATGAGGAGATGAAGTACCCTATATTTGATGACGTAGGCCAAGATTCAAAATGTCAATGCGAATATGACCATCACACTTGTTCTTCTCAGTGTGCTACTCCCACAGTGCCTGACCTAGATTTCACCAAGTCTTCAGTGCCATCTACTCCTAAGGGCTTGCTTTGTGATATACCCCCACCATTTCCAAATCTACTTTCTCACAGACCTCCACTGCTCGTGTTCCCACCAGCACCTGTGCAGTGTTCCCCGAATTCTGATGAGTCTCCTCTAACTCCGCTAGAGGTTACAAAGCTTCCTGTTTTAGAAAATGTGTCTTACATCAAACAACAAGCTGGAGCTTCTCCATCTTCACTGCCACCTCATACACCAGGCCTTCAAAAACTGGAGAAAGACCAGGCAGTATCTCATGGAACTACCACCTCTGGGCACACCTCCTCACCTCCTCATCCTTCTACCTTATACAGAACACAGTCTCCGCATGGTTATCCTAAAAGTCACTCTGCCTCACCTTCTCCTGTCAGTATGGGTAGGTCTCTTACCCCCTTAAGCCTCAAAAGACCTCCACCTTATGATTCTGTACATTCAGGAAGTCTCTCAAGAAGCTCTCCATCAGTGCCTCATTCTACAGCCAGAAACACATTGCAAGAAGGAGGGAAGATGGTAAATGCCTCGGTCAATACCTCCAGCGCAGGGCGGTTCACGTTCTCGGACACCCACTAGTCCTCTGGAGGAACTAACCAGCCTCTTTACCTCAGGACGAAGTCTCCTGAGGAAGTCCTCCAGTGGCAGAAGATCTAAGGAACCTGCAGAAAGTAAGTTTTTGGTACAGTTTTTCTTCTCTCTTCCTTGCATCAAAATACCTTTTGGTATATTTTATTAAATCAAACACTTGCAAAAAATGCATACCTCAGCAGACTGAATTCCATACATAGTTCTCCTGAAACTGGAAGAAAAGTCATTATTGTTAAAATTACTTTGATTTTCTTTTTCTTTTTTTTTTTTTTTGGTTAAGAAACACAAAGTATGTGTACTGCACTACAGAAGGTGTCCAGTTCATGACTCGGTCTTGCTTGCAAGGGCGGTCAGTTGTCATTAACTTTTCCACGGTCCCATGTGAGCTGGGAAACTTCTCAGTATCTCAGACCCCTAATTTCCTAGTGGATGTTAGGACATGATGATTGTCCACGTAGCTTGTAGCAAAATAACCAGACAGTTGTTTTTGGGGGTAAGGTCCATTGATAACCCTTAACCTGGTCAGCGAGCCTTAATTTTATGTTGGAAAGTGTTTTGCAGAGGTACTAGCTTAAATTGTTCCTGTCCTTCCCACTGCCTCTTTCTGTCCTCTGCCACAGAGTATCTCTTCGAGCTGTGCTAGCGTGACTCGTTGTAATGCCATACTGTCAATTGATCTGAGAACTGGTATGACTCAAAACGCATTACCCGTACCCAGAGAAAAGCATGGCAGGAGGTTATAAAGGAAAACCTTAAGCCAATATTGCCTGTGAATATGCTGTATCATAAAATCCCATATGCCATATCCCATATATCATTCAGATTTAAGCAAAGTGCACTTCTGAGTCAGTGAAATATGTAGACTCCTAATGAAATCAGCCATCACAGGTGTGAGTGAAAGCAGAACCTGGCACCAGTATTTCTGTTGCAGAAAATGTTCCTGTTCAGTGGTGCTAAAGACAAGGTCTCGCAGTGGAACTTAGCCATAAAACTTTTTGTCAGTGAGCAAAGTGGGCTACATATGCTTCCTCCTGTAACTTCAATAAACAAGTTTATGACATTGAAATCTTGAAGTCTACCTAGCTGAGAAGCTCTCTTTTGAGAACAGCTGACTTTGTTTGTGCAAGTGCTATATGATGCCTGTTTGTAACATATTAAATGCAACGCACCAACCTACGCTTGCTTATATTCTGATAAAAGAAGATATTCTTGTTTCCAGACTACCATTTTACTACAGAAGAGAAGCAAATTCTTTCCTGCCTGACTGGTTGCATTTGTACTGCTCTGTTACGTTACTCATAGCAGCGTGTTCAAGGCTAGTTGATGATTCACATTAATTTCAGGCACAATCAGGGGTTCACAAGAACACCCCAGCTGATTTTCATGGGCACAGGTCCCCTATCTCAGGTCTCTGCTTCAGGTTTGAAGAAAGCCTAGGCTGGTGTTGCCAGCTCACCTAGATCTGCCTAGCACTGGTTGTGCCAGAGCTCAAGTGGAAAGTGCTCAATCACAGGGTGCCAAAGCTGCTTTCGGTGCGCTCGTGTCCTGCTCACACCTTTCCTTGTCAGCTAGCATAAGCAGCTCGCTTGGAACCTGCATGGCCATGGCCACGGCCACCACTGGCCTGAGTGGGCTGCCTGTCAAGGCTATCAGCTGCTGAGCAAGTATGCAAACATGTGAGTAGGGAGAAGCTTGGTGGCAATGCTTGCATTAGCCTGCAAAGCATTCTTCCTCTGTCATGGACTCTGCTGCTCCAACCTTGGCACTTTCTGCTCTGCTTCTCCTTTAGTGTTGTTTTCTCTGTGAGTTGAGGGTGGCCCTCGAAGTCCCTCATCTCCCAAACGTCTGTCCACACACCTTGTTCTGGCTTGTGTGTAGGTGGTTGTGGAGGAAAGCCATAGCTCCATAGCTCTGCCATTCACCCATGCCAACTAAGAGATTTCTCCTCTTTTGCCTTCTGCTTTATTTCTGCTGAGCTGTTCTGTGTCCTTGCGTACTTGTGAGCTCTGTTGATTGGGGTCATACCTGGAGGCTCCCTGCATGGAGAAGGTCACAGGTCGGATAACACTACGGGGGGATTGGGAGAGAATTTGCAATAAAGCTTGTGCTTCACTAGGCATTAAAGAGGGCTGAGCTTGTGGGGCAGATACGAGCTGCTCTGGGCTACACAGCTGCCAGTCAGAGGTGCAGAGAGGCTTTGCAGACAAGGTGGTATTTCATTCGTGGCTCATGCTGTCATTGCAATATCCTCTGGCTATGAGGCAACGGTGTGTATGGATGATGATCAGGCAGATTCTGAAACACTGACGGGAGTTGTGGGAAATGCAGCGTTAATGAGAACAGCTGAATGTTACAAGAGCTTTCATGGTGGTTACATAGGCCTGACAGGATGTGTGTCACATCCTTTGTGGGACACCTGGGATGGTCTGAAGGGACCCTGTGACTGAGGCAATGAGATGCAGGGACTGTGACTATCCCTTTGAGATCAGTCTTTGGAAGCAACCTGATGGAGCAGAATCATCTTGCTTTTATTTTTGCTCTCCCTTAGTAGTGTTTTCTACAGTTGCCCTTTGTTTGCAGTTTTCTTCTCATGTATCTGTGTGCAAATCAGGAATAATGACTCTAAAATCAAAAGTGGACGTAAGAATGGAATTAGCAGGATACTCAGAATATGAGTCAATGCAGCAAATGCAGCACTTGATCTGTCTTTAATATCTTTGTGGCCTGCTTTAGCTCCATGATTCAGTAGGGTTTTACATAAGTGATTACAGTAATAAAAATACAATAACACCAGATTTGTGTGCTGGATGGAAGCAAACTTGTGCCTAAAAGGCAAGATGATTCTTGTAATTGGGAACAATCACGAACGATGTGATGTGACACTTACAAATAATTGTAGTAAAGTGGTGGAGAGATTTTGGGGAAGTGCAGACAAAATTGAACATTATTAAACATGCTGTTTGTTGAGAAGTGAACAGGAATTCCCATGCTACCCCAGAACTACTTGGCAGGCTTCATAAATTTGATGGGGATTGTGCTCACTGAGGTAGACAGAAAGACTAGCTGTGGCACCCATGGAAATTCCCACAGCGAATGTGGGAATTAGTTCAAATCCTGGGAAATCTCAGAAAAATCTTATGTGCTGCTGTCTCATAGGTAACTCCAAAAAGATCTCTGTATTGTAGTTGCCTGCAATTGACTGCAGACTATCAAGGGACTTTTCAGAGGAATATGAAGGAGATCTTGGCCTGCAGACCTGTACCGAGAGCAGCTTTCTTATTGGCTTCTCAAGGAGCATTCTACTTGCTCTTTCGGGAGTGGAAAAGTGCTTGTTACTGGTCAGAAGTGGTAAGACAGGAGAGATGTGAAATAGAAACCATGTTCATTTAAGGACAAATCTTCGATATTATAAACAGAGGCCAGTGGTGAAAAGACCCTGGAGTGCAGCTGTGTTGGGTAAATGAACAGACTGCCCATCTAATCCGATTGTAATTTGTCTGATATTTACAGTGTGGCTTAATCCTATAGGATTACTGCCCTAAGCAAGAAGCAGGTTTGTGCTCAGACGTTGCAGAGGCAGAAGTCACTGTGAGATGTGTTGAAAACGCATAGAGAGCAAGCACTGATGTCTTGCAGTTAAAATGATCCACCAGAACAATCCTGGATTTGGGGGTTTGAAAATAAAATCTGACGCATTTAGAGTCTGTAATAATACATGGTGAAGGGTGGTGGAGACTGTGGACTGAAGAAATCTCGATTTTACAAATCTTACTGAAAGCCTAAGGTAATCACACAGTTTTGGGGCTTTCTTTTAAGCTGCTGGAGACCAAATGCATAGCATAGGACTAACTGGGAATGCAGTATCTTTATATTTGTCATGTCAATGTGATTTAGTCCGAGTATGCAAAAAGATTTCCAGAATTTAGAGGATAATAAACAAAAAAAGCAAAAGTTGTGTCCCTCCTAAGAAATCATACTAGGAAACTAATAAATATGTACTTTTAAAATATAAAATTATTCTGGGCACATCTCAAGCAAGTTGCTCATTGAATCCTCAAAGACTCAGCCCTCTGTGACTTGTCTGAAGCTCTCATTGCCACAAGTTAATTTAAAAAAATAAAAAAAGGGGGCACAATACTAGATTTTAGATTCAGGCGAGTGTATTTGCAAAATATTGCAGCAATTACAGAGACAATTGTTTCTTGTCTCTGTTGTTGTTACTGTAACTGACTTTTACATCTGGATCCAAAGTCAGAATTTGTCCACTGACTTTTAATTTGAGGCCTTTTGGGGTGGTTTATTTTCTGTGGAGGGAGGTTGCATAAACCTTATTTCCAGTCAGCAGTTTTAATATACAAATAAAGCTGCCCTTATAATTCTTCTGTATTACTCTTTACTCTTCTTCCATTTTTCCTTTTTTCCCTCCATTTAATTCCTTCTATGGAGTTCGCTAGAATTACATTAGTGGGAAATTGGGATAATTCAGTAATCCTAAGGAGACTGTCACCTCAGGGCTACATTTTCTGAAGAGATGAGCTTCTGCTGAAGCCTAGCGATGTTATTGAATACACTCAGCATCCGCTGGCTGCAGTTGTGATGTGTGCAGCCAGATTCATGTGCCCTTATTGTGCTTTGTTCTTCTAAAAATCCTCTTGTGTGTTGTTAGCATCTTAAACATGCGTTAGGGCACATTTATGAAAGTGGGGAGAAAACCAAAAAGGAAAATAAATTGTAAGGCCGAATCAGAAACGAAAAAGTTAGTGGAAGATGGTCACAAGGAGAAGCAGAAAGATGGAGAGAATCCCTACGGAAAACTGAAGAAAGATATAAGCATGAAAAAATAATGTGAAAGAGTAAAAAAGATACGCATTGTTAATTCGTGCCCCTGCCTGTTCTTTAACCCTTCCTGCTTTTGTGTGAGCTAACGGTGGCAGCATGCCGCAACAGTCTGTAGACCCCCTGTGAAAACATACTGCCACTCTCAGAGGTTAGAGGGAACCTATTTAAAGGGTACCCGCATTATCTCCTTTCCTTGGGTTAAAGTGTACTTTTCTAATGCAGTTGGAAAGTGTTTTAAGTA